CGAATTGGGCTCGCAGGCAGGTAAAGGTTATCGCAGGTAGTAAAGCTTATCACGATATCGACCACGTGCGTTGGTCATGGCTTAATTAAACACCCTCCATTGTGTTGCTAGATCCGAGTTATCCGCATCCTTAAGATCTCGACTACTTGAATTTAGTTTATGTGTTATGAAAACGGATAGATCTGAGGATTCAGTAGTTAGTGCCATCTTGTGTTCTCCTAAGTTGTTAGCTCCCCATCGGTGTACCCCCATGTCTGTCTTTTTGTATTCAGTATATCGCTTAATTCGAGATCAAGAGCATATTGTTGACGAGGCTTGGTAGCTCAGTGGTTACCGTTTCTGCTTACTGAGCAGAAGGTCCGGGAGTTCAATCCCAGGCCCGTCCCCTTCCTTGCAATTTTTCACTTTGCCTTATTCTATACCCACTAGATTTTAATGAAAACAAATTCTTCTTTAACACTGATCGCATCACTTACCACAGTGTGGGTCCTGATCTAAAAATAGAAATTGGATGAGTGCGCGCGCGTGTGTGTGTGTGTGTGTGTTTGTGTATTATAATCGCTCTACCAAAAAACGATCCCTGCGTGTGCGTGCAACCTTTCCCCACATCCAACATCCCAGTGATTTCTCGTGGAAGCGCAGAGGATTTCTCGGTTTCCTTCACAGCGAGTACCATGTCAACACATTTCTTCCTATTCCCTAGTTGACCTGCATTCGGACACGGCCGGCGCTGGTATTGCTAAATATTAGATCTCCAGTTCTTACACATTGAGGATGAATGTTAGTCCCAAACATCATCTGTTGGTTCTCTGTGTAATTGCAGCTGATCTGGTAATAACAGAGCAGCAACCGTGGGCGGTCAATTTGATTTTGATTTTTGATTTGATTTTTTAATTCGAGATCAAGAGCATATTGCTCTCAAAACCCTAAGCCCTAATTTGGGCCCATCCATAAATTCAGCAATCGACTAAATTTTTAATAGCGACCCAAAATATCCATTACTGCCGTTCCAATGACGCGTTCATCTAGATGAAATTGATAAATAGCAGATTTTTAGCGATGGGCCCAATCTTAGATCCATAGGCCAACATTACGGCCAATGATACTGTCGAGTGAGAGCGATGAAAGAGTTTGTGTGGCTGGTAATTGGTGGCAGACGAAAAGACGTGTTGAATCCAATTTTAAAACCATAGTTATAAGTTAGGATCACAAAGGTAATAAGGCCTAAATCACATTTTAAAGTGTGTTTTAGGATTGCTATTTCTTGTCTCGTAGATTTCCGAAATATGGTCTTAATCGTGCTTCAAAGGAAGGTTTTGATTTTTTTTTAAATTAACTATATAATTGTCAAGTCTCAATTGCGATAGCTTAGCGGAGCCTGGATCCTAAGTTAATTTAACAATATTGTAGAGATCAAAAGCTGTTTGGCCAAATTATCCTCCACCTGGTGAAAGGTACTAAATCGAGATTCGATATTGATTTTGGGATATTTAGCTTATCAGTCTTTAATTGACTAGAACAAACGTTTGAATTTTGTCCAGCTTTCCGATGCAAATAAGAATGATCCTCAGAAAAAATACGCTTAAAAAACCATGAGAATAATAAAAAACTATTTAAATGTTCGTTACAATCAATGAAAGACTGATTAGTCGAATATTGAAAAATAAAAACTACTGAATTCTCAATTCCTCTTTCGAGATTTGATATCGAGAATGATCTCCTCAAAAAAGTTCTAAGAATTTAGGAGGGTAAAAGTGGAAGAATTGTTTTAGGAACTGTCCATATTCCACGTGTACAACTTTTAAGAGATTTTAGACCTTCTCCTCTTGTGTGAAAACAACAATGAACCCTGTACATTTGCAAACCCTCTTCCCTTCTAAAAAAAAGCATCATTTGTAAAAGATGTCGTTTTGCATCGCATTGATTCAATAACACTTTTATCAAAATAAAATTTTTACATACCCGGCAAATACGAAATCGGTATATTTTTAGTACAAGCCACCATCGTACAAGCTATGCCGAATTTGGGCCATTAAATCAGATGATGGCAACTTATAATAAGCATAGCGAAACTATTGACTCTACAATGACAAAAACCAAATTGAAGCAATACTTCAATTCTTTTCCTTAATTTATGAACACGCGAAAGTACTAACATGTAAACAATATACTGTTAAGTCTAGGTTGTTCGATATCATATTGATTAGAAATATGACAAAATGTAATTGTCATTGTATCAAATCGGTCTACTCTTGATGGACGGCAAATAAATAAATAAACTGTCCACGTGGTAAAGGCTGACTAAAAGTAAGTACACACTTAGAAATTATCGCCGACTTCGGTAATTTTTACCGAAATCTGAACAGCTGAACAGTTCGGTAAAATTTATGCAATTCAATTCAATTGCTTTTCAGCTACTTTGAAACTAAATCTGCACTAAAATGACAAGATTTGATCATTTAAACAAGGTTGAACATGTTTTAAAATTATTTTCAAATTCAATAGCCTTTAAAATGAAGGTCAAAGTTTTACCGAACATTCAGCTGTTCTGATTTCGGTAAAATTTACCGAACACGGAACCAAAATCTTAGTGTGTACGCCCCTCGCTCGCCGCTAGCACGCCTCTAGTGTTGGGAATCGAAAGTCTTTGACAGTGGTTTGTTTACACTTCTATAGAGAACAACTGGTTGATCAAAGTAGTCGATCGCGTTCAGAAACAACGTCAAATGGAACTCGATAGAAGAAAAAATATTGTGCACAAATACTTGGAAAATCCAGAGTGGTCCGGTTCCAAGCTGGCTAAAGTGCTGAAGATGCCAAAAACAACAGTTTTTCGAGTGCTCAAAACCTACAAGGAAACCCTGAGTGTGGAAAGGAATCAGCAGTCCTACGAAAAAACTGGAGCCATGATCGTCAGCTGCGCAGCAAGATGTTGAGGTGCGTTAAAGCCAACCCCAGTCTTTCGATCCGAGATGTGGTCAGAAGATACAACGCCAACTTTCAAACGGTGCGGAACATCCTTGCCAGGGAAGGATACAGGTTGAACAGGCACATGAAGCAGAATTCCGTGGCCAAAAAGCATGCGAGGCTCTTGTACGACCATGTTTTGACGAAACACAAGGGCTGTATTTTGATCGGAAAGATTCAAGTTCGTGTTTGCGGACAAGTTCGCGAAGAAGGCCATGATTTGGCAAGCGATTTGCAGTTGTGGCCTGAAACGGAACCATTCGTCACATCCTCGACGATGACATCCCAATTTTACATCGAAGAATGCCTGAAAAAGCGTGTATTGCCGTTCATCCGCAAGCATACGGGCAAAGTCATCTATTGGCCCGATTTGGCCAGCTGCCACTACTCCAAGGTGGTTCTGGAGTGGTTTGCTACCAACAAGCTCGATTTTGTCCCCAAGCTAATGAATCCTCCTAATTGCCCGGAATTGCAACGAATCGAAAAATACTGGGCAATTTCAAAGCAGCGACTTCGACGAAGCGGCGGGGCAGTCAAGGACATCCAGCAAATGCGGGCAAAATGGAAGAAATTCGCTGATCGAAATACTTGTTCGTTTTCACTGTGCGAGCACTGATGGGCTCGATCAAGAGGAAGGCTCGAGATTTCGTTCGAACCAGAGAAATGTAGTCCATGAATGGACTTTTTAAACTGATTGAATCACGAATTACAGGTCTTTTTGTGCATACCAATTACTTTTGTCAGCTTTATAGCCGCTTATTCTAAGACACATCGAAGACAGCCCCTTATTTTCAATCACTATTTCCAAAGAGGAACTGCACAGATAAAAATTCTGAATTTTACTGGTGATGCGAACATCCATGCATGTGAACATACTTTTCACTAGAAACTTGCAAGCAATGTTGCTTACAAAGATGGACGGTTGCATACAATATTTGGAATATTATATGAAATGTCTCATAACTTTACTCGATCTATAATGTACATATATTGGTATGCTATATAATGTAAATTGCACACTTAGAAAAATTGATGTAAATTTAGGTGCTCTGAGACTGACATATACGAGCGTCAATTTCGACATAAAATTGAGTCATAATAAACGCGAAATTCAGCTCAACCTAACGTACCTTCGAACTTTTCAGTCTCGGAGCATTTAATTTTACATGACATGTTTGTTTACGTCTCATCCTTTATGTCAAAGATGGATTCCGTCACGTGTACGATTAGGTATTTCTAAGTGTGTGGTATGCATAATAGTGACAGACATTTACAATACTTTTTCGAACTGTGTAGAACTTAACAGGGGGATTAGAGTGGTGTGAGGCCTTTGGGTTGGACAAGTCATTAGGCCGAAAGGCATTAACCCATGCTGAATGTTAAACGGTGAAAGTATCTACTAAAGAAACGTTGAGCTCAACTAAATTAAGGACACCCTTACAGAACATTTGCTGGTACATATCCATACTTAAGAAAAAAACTATATATAAGATTCAGAAGATGCAATTTTTTAGATATCTGACAATGAACTTCTATTAAGATCATCGACATGGGCAGATTTTTAACAATCTTATCCATTTTTGCGAGGCAGTGGTTATGGAAAACATTGAACTATGATTATCGCAGAAGTATCCTCTTTCGTTCTGCACTGTACGAGTCGTTCAGTGCGACCGAGGCATTCACTCTAGTGGTTGTCGTTCTGTGCATTCACATAAACTATCAGTCTCTCTGCCTCTCAGCTCTATCTTCCCTATATCCGTTGAGAGTAGCCGGCCAGCATGTATGCCTAGATTCTTTTTATATTTGCAAAAGCGAATCCAGGCTTGGAGCGTAGAAAGCCCCGCCCGCGCCATCTGTCCGATTCGGTTTATTTTCCTGTTTTCCTTTTCACCGAGGCATGTCTAATCATATCAAACGAGTGATGTTCTTTTGCCACCGGCAGGCCGTACGAGGTGCTTTATGTAGTGTAGGACCATAGACATAGACATTGTGCTAATTCTCTTTATTTTACTTTCCTTTTTTTATTTCACCAGAAATTGCTCCAACAAATCTTTGTGGCACGTAAACAAAGTCGTCCTAAGTGCGGAAGGAATGGGCGCTTAATGAAGGTAAGATGATATGGCAAAAATAATGAAGATGGTGAAAATCCTTTTTGCTGAATATGGTTTATTGGTGGGGATAAGAGATTGTAAGGTCTTAATAAATTTCAGCGGAAAACGTAAGCTTGAAAAATGATTAAAATTTAGCGGTTTCATTCCTGAACGCATCCATCACCGACGGGCCGTGAGCGTAATGAAAATTTTGAGCGACACATTCGTAATAGGATATCGAAATTCAAAGTGATGAATTGTGACGCAACTCTTGTCTTCCTAGAAACTTCAGCTGCCAGAGCCTGGCCTTATCCGATGTCATGCATCCATGATACAAAGAGGCGCCTTACAAATGTCAAATCCATCTTCTCTGTCAGCCACCCTGTCGAGGGAAGACTTGGGGCGAGGCTTTTTGTGCGATTGCCACATGTTGCTCTCGATGTTACTGCTAAAGCCGGGTGAAATTTGATACCCTCCCATTCAGCGGTTCGCTTCACAGCATCATATACGAAGCACACTTACACGCACATACTCGAACGCAACCGAGTGCAAAATGACATAAATGGATTAAAATGTAACGATTCCCAGATCTATGCCACTAGAAAAGTTAAGCGAAGTAGAAGAGGTCCATTTGATCCCGGCCTGGGCTGCGGTGAAAGTGGAGACGTTATGTCTTCAACCCTTTTTAAGTTAATTTGTTTTGTAGATTGGCACATGCTACCTTTTTCAACCAACATTAAGGTCTTAAAGTACAGTTTTTGGAGCCTCAACTTGCTGAAAGTTTAAAGCACCCGGACAGAAAGCTCACCTTGCTTGGTTTAATTTCTGGCATGAATGATTTTAATTTTTTCAGTAACATTCAGTTTTCATAGAAAATGTTAGAATTTTATTTTAACACATAATCTATTCAGGTATACTGAAGAACTCTCATGGATTTGAAAACTTGATTCTGACCCTTTTGTGGTCGTTTGAGGAAACCTCATGATTGAAGCTTGCGATGTTAAGGCAGAGTTTGTACATTGTATGGAATCGGAGCATTCTGATTTAGATTTAGTACATGTAAATAAAAAAAATAGATGGCCTATCTGCAGAGATGCCAGATTTACAGACATGTCTGTGAATTTACAGACTTTTGTTTTTTTTTCATAGACATTTTTTTCGTTACAGACATTTACAGACTTTTTAATTTCTTTCACAGATATTTACAGACTTTTGTAATCAAGGGAAAATTTTAAAATTTATTTTGTTACACTGTTTTTCAAATAACACGTGCGATGCATTTTGCAACACGCATCAGAAATTTGCGCGTTTTCAAATCCACCACACGAACGAGCTGTCACTGTTATATACGGTCATAGTTATAGACCTGTCAATCTGCTGCCATGTTGTATCCAAAACGAACATTTTCCATACGATTTGACAGTTTGTTTGGTTGGGCCGGGATAACTTGACTGTCTATAGTCAGTCTGTCACTGAAAAAGTGAATGAAATCGAGGAGGACGAAAGTCCCAGATTTATTCAAAATTTGCCAAAAATTACTCTAAAGTTTGATTTATTGATTTATAGTCGGAGAAATCCATTTTATCGGATTCATCCGATATAATCGTGCTTTAATCTCTAAACAAATAATATTGATTTTTATCGGTCATATCTCTTATATCGGGTCACATCTATATAAGTATCATAACAGGTAACATGACACCCGTTTGTTTATAAGAAAGATACGCCGTGAAATCCAAACCATCAATTAAAAAATGCGGATCAGCTTTTGTAATCAAATCTTGTAAGGATCTTTTCTCGCAAATCGAAGCTCACTTTGCCAAATCAACAACACCGTCGGCTAGGGAAAATTCTTTCCTATCCGATGGTGGAATTGGTTTGCCATAGGCGTGCTTCAGTTTGCAAGATAAGGTCATAACAAGTTTGCTGATGCAACCTTTAGTATCGTTGGTTGATAAATCTGTTCGAAAATCGTATGTTGAAAAATCATGTATGGTGATTCCTTGAAAAGTCCATAAATTGCCTGATGATGAATGAAATGCCCAATCATTTCAAGAGTTTTATCGAACAAATTTCGGACACAGTTGTGACATCACTCATGAAATTGGAACTCCCTGTCTGCTGCATCAAATGTGAAGTTCTAGTTACGACTTTTCATCCAAAATGAAGTGCAAACGCAACATAATTTTGGATACTTTCGTATGGCGAAGAAAACACAAATTCGATATGAAAGGTCCTCAAAAATAAGAGCTCTCTTAAGACTACTCCCAAGTAACCAAAAGTTCCGCATTCAACGATTAAAATCACTTCCAATTTCCATAAAGTTCAAATAAAGTTTCGACCGAACTTTCAAGTTCCATAAAGTTCAAATAAAGTTCCGACAGAACTTTCAAGCTCCATGAAGTTCAAATAAAGTTTCGACCGAACTTTCAAGATCCATAAAGTTCAAATAAAGTTCCGACAGAACTTTCAAGCCACATGAAGCAATCCGCACAAGTCTTTATTAGTAACAAAATTTAATGCACGTAAATATGAAATGATCAGTGGCCCGAATAAATCATTATTCTTATATTTATGCAGTGTTTCAACATTCTATCCAAATATAAAAAAATAAAGAACAATTTCCTGGATATGAACCCGTGTAGTGTGTTGGAATACCATGCAGGCAACACCAATTTAAAATTCATCAAGGTGTTGTGTTTCGTATTCAAGTCAGTAAGCTGGCACTGAAAACTCCAACAGTAGGCGGGACAACAGTTCACTATAATATATCTCAGAAGACGTAGCGGTTCGTGCTGGGGCTCTCACGCAGAAGGACTGGGTTTAGTTCTTCAAACAGCTCAAATTCTACTGCTAATGCTAGTGGTAAATCAATACACAATTAAAACAGGCCTTTAGAAATAACTTTCATAAAAGTGCGAACTAAATTGGTGTAGAGTACAAAAACCTTTTTTAATTTATTTTCTAAAAGTTCCGTTCAAGTTCCGCCAGAAGCTGCTTAGAATGCTCTTCAATTATGGTATCGGAACTTTCAAGTTCTTATAACGACTTAAAAATGAGGCTGCTTAGAATTCTATAGACCACCTTCAACCAAGCTGCTTAAGCCACAAATAGCCTTTTATCAGAACTTTTGGTTACTTGGGCTGTTTACGTAAAATTAACGAAAAGTTTGTGTTATACTTCAAGATTAAGTTCAAAGTACCCATCAATGAGAACAAAATTTCACCCAAAACAGTTGTGTTTGCGGAGTACTTATTTTTAAATACTTTCTACACATACAAACAGACGTAACTCTTCATTGTGTATTTTCGTCCACGCATTTAACGGTTGATTTGAATATTATGAGTTCCGCGAACTACTCGCCGCAGCGCTGGCATCGGATCACTTTGACGTTTCTATACATTCTATGCAACTTTTATGCAATATTGAACAAGCTTGTTTTCCGCGAGAATCCCGAGAGATGTCGTTACTGAGGTCCTATGTTTTGAGATACTATCTTTTCAAGAAAAACTTTTTCAAAGAGTCACGTCTATTTGTCTGTGCTTTCTATCTCGATTTTGAGTAGTTTTGTCTCTTCGCGATGAAATGGTAGAAAAGGACTACAAAGTAAGCATTTTTGAGGGAAACTGGGGCTACTATTTAAATGAGTAAAATATTACCCGTTTAATTCCAGCTACAAAAATAGGTAGTTATTATTCATTTGTGAGTAACAAATATTCATAAATGGGTAATTTTTTTACTTACTTAATGGATAGCTCCAGTCTCCATCAAAAATGCTTAATATGTAGTCAACTAACTCCTTCATTCGAGTAGTTAAAATGACGTTTACTACCACTCAAACTTTGAAATAAAACATTTTTCCTCTAGAACCTTGAAAAAAGTAGCCAACATTTGTGCGTTTCATAAAAAATTGAAATTAGTTGGTCCAGTTTTTTTAAATCGCTGCACGGTAACCAGCGTAAACACATTAATGTGTAAAATTTCACACATTTCGTGAAAAAAGGGGTCTACTCATAAAATGTGTAAACTGTGTTTACACATTTATGTGTAAACCCAGTAAACGTCAATAGAAGTGTATTTTTTACACATTTTTCAAGAACGGTTTTTACAGCAAAATGTGTAAAAAGTAATCATTTCTAGAACTTAAATATAATGGGTGCGCATGGTTTTCTATTAACTTCAGAATTTTCTTATTTGTGTTAATGATAAAATAATGATTGCTCGAATACAATAATATTTTATTTAAAAAAGGAATGCCATCAAAAAAATTAGTACCGGCGCCAGTGCACTGTAGTGCAGTGGTGTAGTGATAAGCGTGATTGCCTCTTACCCTAGCAGGTCTGATTTCAATCCCAGTCGGCACCGCTGGGATGTTCTGAGGCATAACATCTCTAATCACGCCGAAAATCACGCCTTGCTTCGGAAGGGAAGTAAATCCATTGGTCCCCGGTTCATGAGTTGATGGATCGATAGGTAGGATCCAGGTGTGGGAGCTGCCTTCCTGGCATTGGTGCTCAGCACGGAAAACAAATCAAGGAAAAAACAAAAATCAGTTTGAAGCAAGCAAGCGAGACACCGGACATTGATTATGATTTTTTTTTCCAAAACTTAACTATGAAAATAGTATAAATCACCTACCTTCTAGTATGTCCATCGTTGTACTGTCCAGTTTGGACCGTAGTTCCTTCATTTTCCTGTTGTACTTCACTGAAATATATACAAGTTACGTGCATAAACAAGGCAGGCTACAGCAAAGTTTGAAGTTTTTTTTTTACCCATTAATGACCCATTTACCCATTTTTTGACTGGTACTACATTCTAAAAATGTGTATTTTTTTACACATTTTTTGACAGCTACATATAAATATAAAAAATGTGTATTTTTTTACTCATTTATGTGTTTACGCTGGTTACCGTGTGGTAGAAGGTCGCGCGTGTATGCTACTTTACCAGCTAGGTGGCAACCCTACACTCATAAAATAAATTACATAACCAGTGGAAATTATCCATGTGAATTT